GGGAAAGCTAGGGGAGGCTTAGGGAAGCTTGGGAAAACTTGGGAAGGCTAGGGGAGGCTTAGGGAAGCTTGGGAAAACTTGTGAAAGCTAGGGGAGGTTTAAGGAAGCTTCAGAAAACTTGGGAAAGCTAGGGGAGGCTTAGGGAAGCTTGGGAAAACTTGGGAAAGCTAGGAGAGGCTTAGGGAAGCTTGGGAAAACTTGGGAAAGCTAGGGGAGGCTTAGGGAAGCTTGGGAAAACTTGTGAAAGCTAGGGGAGGCTTGGGGAAGCTTGGGAAAACTTGGGAAAGCTAGGGGAGGCTTAGGGAAGCTTGGGAAAACTTGGGAAAGCTAGGGGAGGCTTAGGGAAGCTTGGGAAAACTTGGGAAGGCTAGGGGAGGCTTAGGGAAGCTTGGGAAAACTTGTGAAAGCTAGGGGAGGTTTAAGGAAGCTTCAGAAAACTTGGGAAAGCTAGGGGAGGCTTAGGGAAGCTTGGGAAAACTTGGGAAAGCTAGGGGAGGCTTAGGGAAGCTTGGGAAAACTTGGGAAAGCTAGGGGAGGCTTAGGGAAGCTTGGGAAAACTTGTGAAAGCTAGGGGAGGCTTGGTGAAGCTTGGAAAAACTAGGAGAAGCTTGGGAAAGCTTTCGCTCGGTGGTAGGCCAATGTATTCTCAGCCTCCTCCTTGGTCAGTACGGCCGTGTGCTTGACAGTGTGATGATTCGTTGGTCATTATTATATAAAGGTGCAGAGGTTGTGTTGATGGTGTCCCAGGTGTAGCGTGAGTAGTGACCAGTGTGTCACACCCTCACCTCTCACCCTACACAAACACCCTCACCTCTCACCCTACACATACACCCTCACCTCTCACCCTACACATACACCCTCACCTCTCACCCTACACAAACACCCTCACCTCTCACCCTACACAAGCACCCTCACCTCTCACCCTACACATACACCCTCACCTCTCACCCTACACATACACCCTCACCTCTCACCCTACACAAACACCCTCACCTCTCACCCTACACATACACCCTCACCTCTCACCCTACACATACACCCTCACCTCTCACCCTACACATACACCCTCACCTCTCACCCTACACATACACCCTCACCTCTCACCCAACACAATACACCCTCACCTCTCACCTTACACAAACACCCTCACCTCTCACCCTACACCCTCACCTCTCACCCTACACATACACCCTCACCTCTCACCCTACACATACACCCTCACCTCTCACCCTACACATACACCCTCACCTCTCACCCTACACATACACCCTCACCTCTCACCCTACACATACACCCTCACCTCTCACCCTACACATACACCCTCACCTCTCACCCTACACATACACCCTCACACAAACACCCTCACCTCACCCTACACATACACCCTCACCTCTCACCCTACACATACACCCTCACCTCTCACCCTACACATACACCCTCACCTCTCACCCTACACATACACCCTCACCTCTCACCCTACACATACACCCTCACCTCTCACCCTACCTCACCTCTCACCCTACCTCACCTCTCACCCTACCTCACCTCTCACCCTACCTCACCTCTCACCCTACCTCACCTCTCACCCTACCTCACCTCTCACCCTACCTCACCTCTCACCCTACACCACCCTACACCTCTCACCTCTACACAAACACCCTCACCTCTCACCCTACACCCTCACCTCTCACCCTACACATACACCCTCACCTCTCACCCTACACATACACCCTCACCTCTCACCCTACACATACACCCTCACCTCTCACCCTACACAAACACCCTCACCTCTCACCCTACACATACACCCTCACCTCTCACCCTACACATACACCCTCCCTCTCACACCCTCACCTCTCACCCTACACATACACCCTCACCTCTCACCCTACACATACACCCTCACCTCTCACCCTACACATACACCCTCACCTCTCACCCTACACATACACCCTCACCTCTCACCCTACACATACACCCTCACCTCTCACCCTACACATACACCCTCACCTCTCACCCTACACATACACCCTCACCTCTCACCCTACACATACACCCTCACCTCTCACCCTACACATACACCCTCACCTCTCACCCTACACATACACCCTCACCTCTCACCCTACACATACACCCTCACCTCTCACCCTACACATACACCCTCACCTCTCACCCTACACATACACCCTCACCTCTCACCCTACACATACACCCTCACCTCTCACCTACACATACACATACACCCTCACCTCTCACCCTACACATACACCCTCACCTCTCACCCTACACATACACCCTCACCTCTCACCCTACACATACACCCTCACCTCTCACCCTACACATACACCCTCACCTCTCACCCTACACATACACCCTCACCTCTCACCCTACACATACACCCTCACCTCTCACCCTACACAAACACCCTCACCTCTCACCCTACACATACACCCTCACCTCTCACCCTACACCCTCACCCTCACCCTACACATACACCCTCACCTCTCACCCTACACCCTCACCTCTCACCCTACACCCTCACCCTCACCACTGGTCATGTATAATCACCATATTTCTCCCTCTGAAGATGTTGAAAATCACTTTAACAAAAAGCATCCTTTTGGGGGTTCGATAAGAGTTTTTTTAGGATGCTTTTCAATATTTGTTTTTTTAGGATTTTAAGGATAAGTAGTAATATTTTGAGTTGAATATGAAACAATAATTAGGTTTAAAATAGTAATAAAACTATATTGGAAAATATTTGAAAGAAAACTCTTTTTAAGCCCCTAAATACACCTGGGTTACGAGAACGTCAAACTAATAAAAGATATATTAAAAAGATATACATATATACGTTCGAAAGATATACTAAGATGTAACATTAAATGGTTTAACTTGAAGGATTTATGATGCTGCATTTTATTGCGGGAAAATTAATTTTTCAAAATTCCCTCTTTTTAAGAACTTTTTTGTTTTCTTCCCGTTAAGTTCACATGTGATTTTGAGGCAATTTTTATAGCCTACACAAATCAGCGTTACAACAAGTTTATTAAAAATTTATATACAAAAAATCTAATTTCTCACGTGAAACTTTTTTTTTTAATTAAAAAAAACATATTCATGGTTGTTTTTATATTAATATTAAACACATTAATATTAGAAAGAAGTTCAATAAACTATACAGAACTTCATTGGGTCTTTCCAATGATACTAATTAACTGACTAGAAATATTTGTATAACACGTTATCTTGAGGTTATCTTGAGATGATTTCGGGGCTTTTTAGTGTCCCCGCGGCCCGGTCCTCGACCAGGCCTCCACCCCCAGGAAGCAGCCCGTGACAGCTGACTAACACCCAGGTACCTATTTTACTGCTAGGTAACAGGGGCATAGGGTGAAAGAAACTCTGCTCATTGTTTCTCGCCGGCGCCTGGGATCGAACCCAGGACCACAGGATCACAAGTCCCGCGTGCTGTCCGCTCGGCCGACCGGCTCCACGTGAACAAAGCTATTTTATGTATTAAATAATAGTCACACTTGTGTTTTAGAGGGAAACAATCTAAGAAATACAAGTTTGAAAGCCTTTAAATTAGTTCAAGAGGAACTATGGTTCAATCCCCTTTAACCTCCACCATTAGGACCATTGGAGTAACAAAAATTAACTTGAGAAGTTGTAAAAATACCTTTCCCAAGTTTTACATATATAAGAAACAAAGGTAAAACAGAAAAATACTGGTCTATTCATGGAGAATACCCACAGGGAAATTTGGAAAAGACAGTCTGAGAGCTTTCGCTCGGCCGAGGCATTCTCAGCGGCTTGGCCGAGGCATTCTCAGCGGCTTGGCCGAGGCATTCTCAGCGGCTTGGCCGAGGCATTCTCAGCGGCTTGGCCGAGGCATTCTCACCGGCTTGGCCGAGGCATTCTCACCGGCTTGGCCGAGGCATTCTCACCAGCTTGGCCGAGGCATTCTCACCAGCTTGGCCGAGGCATTCTCACCGGCTTGGCCGAGGCATTCTCACCAGCTTGGCCGAGGCATTCTCACCAGCTAGAGAATTCCTCGATGAACCAAAAGTTCTAGTTATATATATATATATATATATATATATATATATATATATATATATATATATATATATATATATATATATATATATAGTAGGGTACCAGCTAAGGTTGCATGTGTAGTGACTCTCGGCCTGGAAGAAGACGATATGCAGCATCCGGGGAGCCCCGTGGGTCACCCGCGAGCATCCGGGGAGCCCCGTGGGTCACCCGCGAGCATCCGGGGAGCCCCGTGGGTCACCCGCGAGCATCCGGGGAGCCCCGTGGGTCACCCGCGAGCATCCGGGGAGCCCCGTGGGTCACCCGCGAGCATCCCTGGGTCACCCGCGAGCATCCGGGGAGCCCCGTGGGTCACCCGCGTATCATTTGTCTGTTTTTCTATTTTATTTGAAACTTTGTTACGTAAATTTAAGTTAGGTTAGGTTAGGTTAGGTTGGGTTGGGTTAGGTTGGGTTGGGTTAGGTTGGGTTAGGTTAGGTTGGGTTAGGTTAGGTTGGGTTAGGTTGGGTTAGGGTTAGGTTGGGTTGGGTTAGGTTGGGTTAGGTTAGGTTGGGTTAGGTTAGGTTGGGTTAGGTTAGGTTGGGTTGGGTTAGGTTGGGTTGGGTTAGGTTGGGTTAGGCTGGGTTGGGTTAGGTTGGGTTGGATTAGGTTAGGTTAGGTTGGGTTGGGTTGGGTTGGGTTAGGTTGGGTTAGGTTATAAAACAGTGATAACATGCAAGATTATCTTCCAATTCAGACCTCAGACCCGAACTTCGTGGTGTCAAGAGATATATTTACTTTAGGAATGATACACAGGTTTCGTCAGTACTGACGGAGCAGGTACTTGGCTTTGTTGCTCCTGCTGCAAATTCCTACACTTGGCGATTCGTATCTAGTAGGCCTAACACCACAACACCTCTGGCATCACTACAACCACCACCAACACCACCACCTCCACCACAACCCCTATCACCACCACCACCACCACTATCACCACCCCTATCACCACCCCTATCACCACCAACACCACCTCCACCACCACCCCTATCACCACCATCACCACTATCACCACCACCACTATCACCACCCCTATCACCACCCACCACCACCACCACCACCCCTATCACCACCACCACTAACACCACCACCACTATCACCACCACCCACTATCACCACCCCTACCACCACCAACACCACCACCTCCACCCCTATCACCACCACCACCCACCACCACTATCACCACCACCACTATCACCACCACCACCACCACCACTATCACCACCACTACCACCACCACCACCACTCACCACCACCACCACCACTATCACCACCACCCCTATCACCACCACCACCACCACCACCACCACCACCACCACCATCCACCACCACCACCACCACTATCACCATCACCACACACCACCACTATCACCACCACCACCACCCCTACCACCACCACCACCCCTATCACCACCACCACCACCCCTATCACCACCACCATCACCACCACCACCACCACCCACCACCACCACCCCTATCACCACCACCATCACCACCACCACCCCTACCCACCACCACCACCACCACCACCACCACCACCATCACTAACACCACCACCACCATCACCACCAACCACCACCACCCCTATCATCACCATCAACACCACCACCACCACCACCATCAACACCACCACCACCACACCATCAACACCACCACCACCATCACCATCAACACCACCACCACCATCACCATCACACCACCACCACCACCACCATCAACACCACCACCACCACCACCACCACCCCACCACCATCACACCACCACCACCACTACCACACCACCACCACCACCACCACCACCACCATCACCATCAACACCACCACCACCACCACCATCAACACCACCACCACCACCATCAACACCACCACCACCACCACCACCACCACCACCATCAACACCACCACCACCACCACCACCACCACCACCACCACCATCAACACCACCACCACCACCACCACCATCAACACCACCACCACCACCACCACCACCACCACCACCACCACCACCACCACCACCACCACCACCACCACCACCACCATCAACACCACCACCAACACCACCACCAACACCACCAACACCACTAACACCACCACTAACACCACCACCACCACCACCACCACCATCAACACCACCACCACCATCAACACCACCACCACCACCACCACTATCACCACCACCACCACCACCACTAACACCACCACCACTAACACCACCACCACCACTAACACCACCACCACCACCACCACCACCACTACCACCACCACCACTAACACCACCACCACCACTAACACCACCACCACCACCACCGTCACCACCACCACCGTCACCACCAGGGAAAGTATTATAGGAGAGAGGAAAGGAAGACTCCTGCACTGGCCAATTAGCAGACCCGGAGGTAGCTTGTCGCCCCATTGGCCCCATCCTTGCCTCTCATGGCCAGGGGGGAGCACCTACCCCCCCCAGGCGATGGTGGTAGTGGTGGTAGTGGTGGTAGTGACGGTGGTGGTGGTGGTGGTGGTGGTGGTGGTGGTGGTGGTGATGGTGGTGATGGTGGTGATGGTGGTGATGGTGGTGATGGTGGTGATGGTGGTGGTGGTGATAGTGGTGATGGTGGTGGTGGTAGAGACAATATTGGTGATGGTGGGAGTTGTTTTGGCTCTGGTTCATAAGGAAGAACAAAGGTAACTGCAGAAGGCCTGTTGGCCCATACGAGGCAGCTCCTATTTATAACCCCCCAATCCCACTCATATACATGTCCAACCCGCGCTTGAAACAATCGAGGGACCCCACCTCCAGCACGTTACGCGGTAATTGGTTCCACAAATCAACAACCCTGTTACCGAAGCAGTATTTACCCAAGTCTTTCCTAAATCTAAACTTATCCAATTTATACCCATTGTTTCGTGTTCTGTCTTGTGTTGATACTTTTAATACCCTATTAATATCTCCTGTGGTATGTTTATTCAGCCACTTGTAAACCTCTATCATTGACCAGACCACACACTAAAAGGTGAAGGGACTACGACGTTTCAGTCCGTCCTGGACCATTCTCATTCTCACAATCGACTTGAGAATGGTCCAGGACGGACCGAAACGTCGTAGTCCCTTTACCTTTTAGTGTGTGGTCTGGTCAACTTACTTTAGCCACGTTATTGTGACTCATCGCCTGCAAACCTCTATCATGTCACCCCTAACTCTTCGCCTTTTCAGTGAATGCAATTTAAGCTTTGTTAAACTTTCTTCATGTGACAGGTTTCTAATTTGGGGAATTAACTTAGTCATCCTACGCTGGACACGTTCAAGTGAATTTACATCCATTCTATAGTACGGCGACCAAAACTGAACTGCATAATCTAAATGGGGCCTAACCAGAGCAAGAAATAGCTTAAGAACCACACCAGGTGTCTTGTTACTAACGCTTCGATTAATAAATACCAGTGTCCTATTTGCCTTATTACGAACATTCATGCATTGATCCTCTGGTTTTAAATTCTTACTAATCATAACTCCCAGATCCCTTTCCCAATCCGACTTCGCAATCTCAACACCATCTAGCTCGTATCTTGTAACTCTATCATCATTACCCAGCCTCAAAACTTTACATTTATCAGCATTAAACTGCATCTGCCAATCTTTTGATCATTTCAAAACCCTATTTAGATCAACTTGAAGTGATAGTGGTGACAGATGGTAGTGGAGACAGTGACGAAACCTGTTGGTCGTAAGCGTATACCCCCACTCACAGTATCATTGAAGGTTGTAAAGGTGGTCCCATTTTCTTTGAAACAATAAATAGGCCTATGGCACCTTATAATTATCTAATTAAAGCTGTATGTTGTAAAACTCTCTGAATAGTGATATTAACAATTACAATCATATTCATTTAAAACAAAAACCCTGTGGAAAATGCTTGTTTGGAAACAGGGAGTTATAGATTTATGGATCAAATTATCACGTAACAAAGTCGACGGGTAATTGCTGGAGTGTTTCAAGTGTAGGTTAGACATATGTATAAATGAATTTGGGTGGATATAGATAGAAGCTGCCTCGTATGGACCAATAGAAGCTGCCTCGAATGGACCAATAGGAGCTGCCTCATATGGACCAATAGAAGCTGCCTCGTATGGACCAATAGGAACTGCCTCGTATGGACCAATAGAATCTGCCTTGAATGGACCAATAGAAGCTGCCTCGAATGGACCAATAGGAGCTGCCTCGTATGGACCAATAGGAGCTGCCTCATATGGACCAATAGGAGCTGCCTCGAATGGACCAATAGAAGCTGCCTCGAATGGACCAATAGAAGCTGCCTCGTATGCACCAATAGGAACTGCCTCGTATGGACCAATAGGAGCTGCCTCGTATGGACCAATAGGAGCTGCCTCGTATGGACCAATAGGAGCTGCCTCGTATGGACCAATAGAAGCTGCCTCGTATGGGCCAATAGGAGCTGCCTCGTATGGACCAATAGGAGCTGCCTCGTATGGACCAATAGGAGCTGCCTCGTATGGACCAATAGGAACTGCCTCGTATGAGCCAATAAACCATATGCAGTTTCCTGTATTCTCATGCTCTAAAAGGACTTTTAAACTAGTACATTACAAAAAAGACTAACAAGTACAAAATAGACTCTGGTTCAGTCTACTGGAGGCAATGGAATACATAACGGTGTTATATGTATAATTATATGTACCTATGTGTATTTTATATATGTATATATGTGTATTATTTAAATACAAATATATACAGCCATGTATAATATCATATGGCTAGGGTGAGAGAGGGCGGGGGGGGGGGGGGGGAGGAGGGTAGCTACGTAGCTGAGAAATGTAAGAGGGTCAGAAACATGCCCTGAGCCTCTCGTCAGGGCCAGAAACATGCCCTGAGCCTCTCGTCAGGGTCAGAAACATGCCCTGAGCCTCTCGTGAGGGCCAGAAACATGCCCTCAGCCTCTCGTGAGGGCCAGAAACATGCCCTCAGCCTCTCGGGTCAAAAACATGCCCTCAGCCTCTCGTGAGGGTCAGAAACATGTACTGAGCCTCTCGTGATGGTCAGAAACATGCCCTCAGCCCCTCGTGATGGTCAGAAACATGCCCTCAGCCTCTCGTGAGGGCCAGAAACATGCCCTCAGCCCCTCGTGATGGTCAGAAACATGCCCTCAGCCTCTCGTGAGGGCCAGAAACATGCCCTCAGCCTCTCGTGAGGGCCAGAAACATACCCCTAACCCCTCATGAGGGCCAGAAACATACCCTCAACCCCTCATGAGGGCCAGAAACATACCTTCAACCCCTCATGAGGGCCAGAAACATACCCTAACCCCTCATGAGGGCCAGAAACATACCCTCAACCCCTCATGAGGCCAGAAACATACCTTCAACCCCTCATGAGGGCCAGAAACATACCTTCAACCCCTCATGAGGGCCAGAAACATACCCCTAACCCCCTCATGAGGGCCAGAAACATACCCTCAACCCCTCATGAGGGCCAGAAACATACCCTCAACCCCTCATGAGGGCCAGAAACATACCCTCAACCCCTCATGAGGGCCAGAAACATACCCTCAACCCCTCATGAGGGCCAGAAACATACCCTCAACCCCTCATGAGGGCCAGAAACATACCCTCAACCCCTCATGAGGGCCAGAAACATACCCCTAACCCCTCATGAGGGCCAGAAACATACCCCTAACCCCTCATGAGGGCCAGAAACATACCCCTAACCCCTCATGAGGGCCAGAAACATACCCTCAACCCCTCATGAGGGCCAGAAACATACCCCTAACCCCTCATGAGGGCCAGAAACATACCCCTAACCCCTCATGAGGGCCAGAAACATACCCTAAACCCCTCATGAGGGCCAGAAACATACCTTCAACCCCTCATGAGGGCCAGAAACATACCTTCAAACCCCTCATGAGGGCCAGAAACATACCCCTAACCCCTCATGAGGGCCAGAAACATACCCTCAACCCCTCATGAGGGCCAGAAACATACCCTCAACCCCTCATGAGGGCCAGAAACATACCCTCAACCCCTCATGAGGGCCAGAAACATACCCTCAACCCCTCATGAGGGCCAGAAACATACCCTCAACCCCTCATGAGGGCCAGAAACATACCCTCAACCCCCTCATGAGGGCCAGAAACATACTCCTAACCCCTCATGAGGGCCAGAAACATACTCCTAACCCCTCATGAGGGCCAGAAACATACTCCTAACCCCTCATGAGGGCCAGAAACATACCCTAACCCCTCATGAGGACCAGAAACATACCCTCAACCCCTCATGAGGGCCAGAAACATACCCTCAACCCCTCATGAGGGCCAGAAACATACCCTCAACCCTTCATGAGGGCCAGAAACATACCCTCAACCCCTCATGAGGGCCAGAAACATACCCTCAACCCCTCATGAGGGCCAGAAACATACCCTCAACCCCTCATGAGG